AAAAGAGGATGATAGCCTCAAATAGGAAAACCACGCGAGCGTAGCCGCGGGTAACAGCTAGTATTATATATTTTTTTTGCAAAACGAGACAGATTTGTTAGTTTTTACTTCATCTAGTAAAATTAAAATATCTGGTAAAATTAAAACAGTCAAAGCCAATTACAGGATACACACAGGATATTTACTCTAAGTGCTTACATAAAAAATGACTTTAAATCCGAAACTTGGTTTCAGCGGTAATACGTTTATATACTTAAGTGTTTTGAATGGGTTTATTAGGTTTTAAATCAAGAATTTTGGAAATAATTTGCAGTTATTCTGTTTATTCATTAGCTATTTCAGGAAGTATGCGTCGTAGAGCATAATGGGTTTTACCTGTAGATACGGCTTAACGAGACGGGTCGCTTAGTATTATAAAAGTTCAGTAGCGGAAAAGTGCAGATAATCGGTTTTGGCACTAAGAGGACGATTTACTAACTAATAAACTTCTCGCTTTCTAAACGCACTTTGTTCGTTATTTTGAAAATGCACCTATTAATAATTATAATTAGTAATAATAATTAATAGGAGTAACAATTAATTAATTCTTTATTAATAATTCTTATTATAAAATAACGAACAAAAATATTTACAAAGAATAAGGAAATTTATTTAGATTCAAAGTAGGGAACCCTTCTATTACAATGGCGATGTTCTTGGCTGTATCATTTTGGTGGTCATTTTTTACCATTTCGGTAGACACTTTTCATTTCAGTGGACTCCCGAAAACTTATCCTTAAATATTTCATTAAGTGGTGAAATATATTTTCTTTTTTATTTTGCACCTTTAATTGCATTTTGTGCAAAAACTATGGGAGATACGCGAAAGTATATTGATACCTTTTTTGTAGAAAATTAAACTTTCTACAACTTTGTACTGGGAATTTTTTCTTTTTTCCCAGCCAGTCGCGAGATATTAACGAAAAACTCGTTTTTGCACCATTTTGCATTTTTTTTGCACCCTTTGCCGTCAATGCAGCACCCTGCAATTTTAGTATGGTTAATCTACGAACCCTTACGGAAATTTTCGCGTTGGTTGCAGGTGATCAACTCAAAATGGCAAAGTTAAGCTTTATTGACTGGACTACTATCAGTGACTTCACTTGATTTCTTAATGTAAACGCTACACAAAACATCTTCTTTGTTTTTGCTCCTTGATGGGACGATATTCGGAGTTTCAATTTAAAAAATATATATAAAAAGCGGACTTATCTGTAAAAAGTTATGCGTATCCTCCTCCGTTTTTTATTTGTCTGTTAAATATTTGGTTATTTTTCTATAGAAAGTATTTAACTAAAGTCATAAGTCACATTTAACTATGTTTCAAACAACGCGGTCTAACTAGTGCACAGAGGACTGATCAAAAAACACAGGAAGCTAGCTACCTATGTAATATCCACTGAACCGATAGAGATTAAAGTTTGAGTCCCGCAGTAGGACATAGGATAGGTTAGGTTTTTATCCCCGGAATCATCCTTTAAGGGGATGTAAGTTTGTACCACGCAGTTCCGAGTACACGGGTACCGAGTCTCGGGGACTCAAAGATTTTTTACGTGTGCTACATAGCAGACAGAGAAAACTACACTTCTGTTGCCCCCTTCACACTGATTGGTCCTCTTGCGTTTATACTAAAATACTCGCTCGATTTTACAAATAAAATCAGTATTTTTATTATTTTAAATTTCTTACGGTATCACGATATCTTTTAATAATTCTTTCGCCGACAGCGACAAAGTAAAATCGCTTAAACGCCACTTTAGTAACTTTACACTTACAGAAACGAAGATCAAAGTTCTTTTTTCACAAAAAAAAACATTACTTATTATTGTTAATGAGAAGTAGCGCCATAAAAATAAAACATATTCATGAAATAATATTTTCTAAATATACTCATATAAAAAGTTACACGGTGCCTTTATTTTACGAATTAGATATTGCTTAATCGAGCGTTGTGAACAATATAAATCTTAAAAAAAAGAGTTGTTTAAGCGCAAAGAAAGTACTCAAATCTTAACGAAATATTAACAGATGGATGCTGAAAAAAAAAACCGATTCTAATGACTCAGTGGAATCTACTTAAAGATTACCTTACAGATCATCTGCAACATGTGCAGGTGGGCAACTATCGTAGTTTGGATCAGCCAGTGACTTATGGCGTCCCACAGGGGAGTATTCTGGGGCCAACTCTGTTCCTTATCTACATAATTGATGTCACCCACAATCTACCTTTGGAATCTAGAAAACTTATATCTTTTGCAGACGACACTGTTTTAATATTAGCAGAAGATACGTGGGAAAAAGCATTTGAATTAGCTGAAAATGGTCTTAATAATGTCTCAAATTGGCTGCGAAACAATTTACTTTCACTGAATACCGACAAAACAAATTATATATGTTTTTCTATAACCAATATAAATAAAATTTCGGATTTGCTATCAATCAAGGCTCACCAATGTTTGCAAGACAATATATAATAATTTAAAACGAGTAAGTGAGTTTAAATACTAGGGTATTCTAATAGATCAAAACTTGAGTTTTAAAAATCATATTTTTTCATTGAGTAGAAAAATTAACAAATTAATTTATATATTCAAAATTTTAAGACATACAGTTCCACCTAAAATTCTTAGACAAACGTACTTGGCTTTCTGTGAATCATTAATATCGTACTGTGTTATAGTGTGGGGTCTGGCTTGTAAAACTATAATGAAACCTATTGAAGTTGCCCAACGCGCTGTTTTGAAAATAAGTACTTTTCGTCCTTTCTTCTTCCCTACCTATACTCTCTATCAAGACTGTAATGTCTTGACTGTAAGGCAGCTAGCTATACTTGCAATAGTTCTCAAACAACATAAATAACTTCATTATGATCCAACAATTTGTAACAAACGGAGACAACATAAAGTTTGTAATCAAATACGCCTCTTTCGAACATATTTTGCACAAAGATCTTATGCTTTCTATGGCCCTTATCTATATATTTTTATAAACAAAGTAATTAACATCTATAACTTAAACACAAGCAATTGTCAATTAACTCTTAAAAAATGGCTACTTAACCTAAGTTACGATGAGACTGAAGAACTACTCTATATAATTGCATAACTACATAGTTGTTTGTGTAAATAGGTAATATTAATTGCATTGAGGTAGATTATCCATATGTAAAATTTTAAATGTTTTGCATGGCATAGATATACGTATATTCTTTCAAACTATTTTTAAGTGGTATCTTTAGTGATTTCCTGTTTTATTTATTTTTTGTTTTTCTTCTCTGTTCCTGGAAATAATGCTTACAGTTAATAATATTTATGACTCTAATGTTAATGAGTCAAAACTATGTCTATTTCCTTATATATACTGAATCGACATCTTTTTGTGGGAATCTGATGACCTGATATACAAGCATTTTTATGCTAAGTTTAGGCGTCAGTCTCTCACAAAGTTCTACATAGCTAATTAAATAAATACCAAAAAGTTTATTATACAATAAGTGTTTAAAATGTATTTGTAAACGGAGGAGAGTTAAATAAATAAATAAATAAAATAAAAAAATAAATAAACCTTATTTTCAACCAAAGCGGCGCGCGGCGTATAAGTGATTTTGCCTTTCCCCTGTCGAATGTTATTAATGACCGCTTCTGATCCCCTTAAGCCATTATGCTGTGAAAATAGGCAAAGTAAACCATTCTTGCAGTAGTTTCGTCTGTTAAATTTCTAATGATTTTAACTGCATATGCAGCTGAGCTTATCATTTTAGTGAGCCCTTCAATATTACGTAAGCAGATTTATTACAATTATTCACCCCCTCCTCCCCCTTGTCAGCAAAAGTAAGCAAAGCTCTTACTCCCCCCCTCTCGTGCTTACGTAAATATTGGTACCTATATGCATTTTTCCTTTAATGTATTCTGTTTTTTTTATTCATTCATGAGCTTTCATGAGCTTCATTAGCAGCAGTACTTGAATAGGCTTAACATAGAGGACTTTATCGCACATAATATTCATTGAAACAAACTTTATTGAGACAGTATTCAACATTGAGTAAGGTCCTATTACGAACAAAACCAACTTCTTTCGAATTTTTGGTATATGTATACAATCTTCAGTCCATGACACCCGAATCCATGATGCTGACGTAATCACTATCTCGACTCCCCACCCCCCGATGTCATCAAAAATAAGCAATGCAAAGACCCCCCTGCCCCCCTATAGTGCTTACGTAATACTTGAACGGCCCCTAGAGGAAATTCGACACAGGTCTTGGTAGCATAATTGTGAGCATACGCGTCTGCCTGGATAGCGGAACATGCGGGTTCGAATCCCGTCTGAAATCTAGACCGAGTAGATTTTTTCTTTTTATCATCCAGCACTTAAATGCTTAAATTAAAAATATAATAATAAAATAACCGATGATAAATATATTTATAAAAATAGAATACTAAAAATTATACGCCATTAATTCATAATAATATGTGTTACACTTTTGAACTTTTGTCTTCTGAATTAGAATAGGTACTAGGTTTCCTTTCCCCAGATATTTTCTGAGTTACATTGTTATAAGCAGGGAATAAAATAAATCTTTGTATAATGACACAAGTACCGAATAAACTGTATTTTATTCTCTTTCCAACAAAGCTACCGAACAGTAGATATTTTCACGTTGGCGATAATCTACAAAGGATTGAAAATGATTTTCATAAATCACCTTTTCTATGATAAGTGATAACACAACGTTTTGTTCCTTAAATCATTAAACTATTTTGTACTAGAATGAAAATTAATTATCTTTTCCTGTTTATTATTTTACGGAGCAAATTCTCAGTGTTACCTATGTTTATGCTGCTAAACCAATTTGATTTTAGTAGGTATGTAGATAGAATGGGAAATTTTGGTACTTACCGCCTAGATCATAATCTAAGCTAAAACTAAATAAAGATACAATAATAAAGAATAGTACTAACTTGCAAACGTCTGCGCAGCTTAGGAAAGCCTCTGCGAGGTTCATGATGGCTATGGCGATGATCGTGCGCATTGCTATTGTGTATTTCACTGGTCCAGCTCTAAATTAACGACTTGCCAAACTCATTAACTTCGAACCTATTCACCACGGTTTCCGATCCGTCACAACGTTACCGACCAATTACTAGAACTGTGATTATAATTTGCTCGAATAACCCATGCGTCAGCTGGCTGATGGATCGCGTCTTCGCGTTCGTATTACGAAACGTGCTCAACAAAGGATTTCAGCTATATTGTTATTAAATCATGCATTTCACAATCGCACATTGTATTGATCAGTGCGCAGATATCTCGTTCCATCTCGTACTTGAACAGAATTCAAACAATTTTATATGCCAAACAACCCATGTTGTAAAATTGAGAGTAAGTGTTTATTTCGATTATTACCAATTCTGTCACGTCTCTTTAGTTATGCATAGCATTCCCGTGTTTTAACATTAACGGTACTATATTAGCCATTAATACTGTTACTGATATGCGTAACTTGGTTTAAAAATCGATCTGTAGTTGGATAAAAAATATTCTGTGGTGTGGTGGAGTGATATGTACACCGATTTTCAAGTTGTCCAGGGTTCGATTCCCAGTGGGGCAAATGTTTGTATGATGAATATGAGAATTGGCACCTAAGTCATGTCATGCTATTGATCACATTAATATTATAAAGACGAAAGTTTGTGAGTGTGTATGTTTGTTACTTCTTCACGTCTAAACGGCTGCAGCGATTTTAATAAAAGTTGGTATGGACTTAGCTGACACCCTGGATTAACACGCAGGCTATGTTTTACTGCGGGAAAATATCCCTAATAAGCCGCGGGTAACACCGCGGGGCACAGCTAGTATAATATATTTCTATAAAAATATTATTGTTAATATACATATAATTATATAATGTACCTATAATTATACATTCTATTCATTACCTTAGGATTCCATACCCATAACACACACATTAACCCACGCGGTACTTAGTTTGGCTAGGCTCATTGGTTTGAGTAACTTTAAACCCGTTACCTACTAAAGGTTACATATTTTAAAATCAAATACCTACTTAACCCCCTATATTTTCTAATTTTTGAAGTGAAACTTTTTTACTCACGCTTGATTTGGGGGGTAAGCTGGCGAATACTTCATGCGTTACGAAAAGTGTGTTGTTGTGTGTGATATAAGCAAGAAAAAGCAGTGCGATATAAGTTTGAGAGCAATGAATTGATAAATAATTTGTTTAAGCAGTTTTTCACATATTTTTTTTATGTGAAAAACTGCTTAAACCACCTTACAGTAGGCAACTGTAAAATAACACTACCTTTCTCATCAGCTGAAGCATTAGCATCTTTGTTTGGTAACAAATCTTTGTAATCTTTACGTGCCCCCTAATCCAACAGAAATGAATATTTTCAGAAGAGTGATGGTCGTTAGAATTTGTGCGTAACAGACACAAGAGGAGTTGAGTTGTTGCGCTGGCAAACTGCATCTAGAGATGATAAAAAATCAGTGTGTGTAAAAGCGTCCTCTTATTTCCTCACAACCGCAAGACTCACACCCCTTTTAAGGCATTCAGTTCAACCTGGACCACTGTGCGCGCCTTGTGTAACTTATATGTGTAAGTGTTTTTCAGGTGATAGGAGTAGTAGGGGAGTCCCATCTTCTACATCGAGAGTACTCATCTTCCAACTTACTACCGTCAGTGAAGATATGCACGGTGCATGGCAGGCAAGTCTTGGCTATTAGAAACGGTATATTGAACGGTGACACTATGGGCAGGATGTAGACGATTGGCAATGGGTGTAGAGTACTAACCCATGACAACATCCGACATTATCAGGTTAAAATTCAGTGGTGTGAGTACTTACTCACACCACTGAAGTTTACCTTTTTCGACTTTGCGCACTTGTAGCACCTCGAGGTCTAGGCACAGGGGTTCTACTTTCTTTCTCCGAAACGAACTTTCGATAACGAAGTTCAAATGAAATTTTATTTCGTCAATTTATGGTTATACTTTATATGAACGATAAACTATGAAATTGAAGCTTTCTTTGAGTAGGCTCAGAAAATCTACACCTCAATGTACTCGTATATGCCGACGACGAATATTATTAGATTTAAAATCGAACCAAAAACATAGTAAGACAAGTGCGAATTTTCGATTGAATTTTTGTTTTACTTCGAATTATAGTAGGCCTCCACGTCTGGAGGCGCAAATTGTGCCAGGGCTAACGATACAGTGCGGTAGGTTCTGAGGATCCTGATGGCAAAAACTCGCTGCAGTGATCCTAGTTTACGTTTAAATTAGGAAGCTTTCAAGTGACTTTCTCTCTGGTGATTTGTATTGCTTTGTTAGCTGGCATAACTTTTATTACGGCATCAACGATAATAATAATAATAATAATAATCTTTATTTTCTTCTTCCACAATCTACAAATTCCATGACAACTTATTATACTTTAATTCTTATATAAAAACAGTAAATAGATTGTGAGAGACTGGTGCCTGAACTAGGCAGAACGCCTGTATCTCAGAGCACCAGGACTCTCCCTCCCCTGGAGAATGTACATTGATCAAATTATAAGGTCATTGATCTTACATATTAAATTGTAGGTATAGGAAGAAAAGAAAAACATCTTAAATTACAAAAGTTACACGACTACGCTTAAAATAAGAATAAGTACCTACAAGCTTTGATTAATATCAAAGCCTACAAGTAACAACTTGCCTTAATTTTTAACTGTAACAAGTGTGTAAGCATATTTGGTACTTCAATATTTGAAAGAATGAGAGAGATTTATAAGGTTAGTCTCTCAGTTTCTATGTATGTTTGAGTACGTAAAAATTGAGTAACAAAGATTTTACAATTTCTGTTTGTGTAGTGGACAATGTTTAATTTTGAGTGGAGCAGATTATAGCAGTAAGGGCCCAGAAAATAAAAGAAACGATGTGCAATAGTAGTTCTGCACCGAGGTGTGACAGCTACAAGATGATTACGCTGAGCAGAGTGCAGGGAGGGATCCACCGCGCTGTGTTGTTTAAGAACAGTATTAAGTATAAACAACTGTCGGACGTTTAAAACTTGGCACATTTGATAAAGTTCTGTAGTTGGGAATAAAATAGGTTTCTTAATACATATTTTAAGTACGGCTCTTTGCGCACGTTCGAGCTTTATTAAGATCGATTTAGAGGTACCTCCCCATGAGGTGATGCAGTATGTTATGATGGATTCACAAAGGGATTTATACACCGATAGGACCAGACTCAAATCAGCTACATGACGGAGATTTTTGAAGACGTACATTAGTTTGCGTACTCTACCTGCAATGAGATCCACATGGGCAAGGAACGTTAGCTTGGAATCCACAGCGACACCCAAGTATTTAACAGTCCCACATGCCTCCAATGGAGGACAGGCACATGGATTTATTGAGGGGTTAGGATGGTAATGGACTATTAACGATAGATCCTTGGTCATTTTAGGTGGATTTTTTTTAATTGACATTATCATATATTGAGTTTTCAGGATATTCAAGGTCAGGAGGTTATTTCGGAGCCAGCAGGATACCAGATCGAGACCATACTGTGCGTGACTGAAAGTCTCCTTCCATGAGCCAGATGAAAAAATTAGTACGGTGTCATCAGCATAAGAGATGATCTTGCAGTTGGGAATTTGAAGAGAAGACAGATCATTGATATAAACTAGAAAGAGTGTTGGGCCAAGAATACTTCCCTGCGGTACTCCGTATTCTATGTGACAGTCAGAGCTCCTGATACCATTTACAGTAACACACTGATAACGATCAGTGAGATAGCTACTGAAAAGCGATAACTGTCTGCCTCTAACTCCCAGTCTTTCTAGTTTTTTCAACAGGATGGGAACTGAAACCGTGTCGAATGCTTTAGCAAGGTCTAAGAATACGGAGATAGTTTTTCTGTTCCCATCAAGGTTTCTCGCTATATGATCAGTGAGTTCATGAACGGCATCTACCGTAGATTTACCCGGAGTAAAGCCGTATTGTCCAGGAGCCAATGCGGATGTGCTCTTAAGGAAGTCCATTAATCGGTTATTGATTAAGCGTTCCAATATTTTGGAGAGTGCTGGTAATATACAAATGGGACGATAATTATTCGGGCAGTCCTTTTTCCCTGACTTATAAATCGGATGGACAAGAGCCTTTTTGAAAGCGGAAGGAAAACAGCCAGTATCAAATGCTAGATTACAAATATAAACAATAAGAGGTATGAGTGTATTTTTATAACGTCTAATGAAGTTAGTGGAAATATCATCCCATCCACAACAGCACAGTCGACCCTTAAAGACATAATGGTATTCTCAACCTCGTCCATCGTTGTACTTGATAGCACAAAAGAATTTGCAGGGGACGATGAAAATGTAGGTGATGTCAATGTGAAAATGGGATTCGGAGTAACTACAGGGGGCGTTTGACTATTAATATCTTCAGCAAGTTTTTTGCCGATATTGGCAAAATAGAAGTTTACGTGATCCACCGATTGCTGCTGTGAGTTTTTGCACGTCAGTAATTCACTGGAGAAGTTGTTGGGTTTATTAAGGTGAGCAACATCGCGAATAGCGTTCCACAACTTTTTGCTGTTTGTCCCTGCTCTCCTTAACAGATCTTTTTCGTATGTGTTTTTTACTTTTTTTAACAGTGAATTACAGAAATTTCGATACCTACAAAAAGTTACTCTAAAAGTTTCATTATCTGGATTAGATTTCAGACGTTTATGCATGGAGTCCCTGTTTTTAATTGATCTTAATAACCCAGGGGTGATCCAGGGTTTTAAGATTTTGCGGCGACGTGTGACTATAATCTCATTGGAGTGTGAATTGATGGCTGCCTGAAGTATACTTATAAGATTTTCAGTGGCTGAGTTTACGTCGGATGAGTTTAGAACTGGAGAAAAGTCTGTTTTGCTAAGGCAGACGGCTAGTTCCTGATGATTAATTTTCTTCACAGTATGAGAAACTTTTTGAGTTTTAATTGTGTTAAGAGATAGGAGTACGGCATCATGATCAGTCACCGATGAGTGGATTACAATAGTTTGCGCTGCCATCTTAGATTTTAACATAACATGATCGAGACATGTGTGATTCCGGGTGGGTATGTTATGCGCAGGCAAAAGGCCATGAAATGCTAAGGTGTTTAAGTAATCCTCACAACTAGGGTCTTGCGTTGAAGGGGAGATATTAATATTGATATCACCCATTACTATAACGTTTTTAAAATTGCTTAAGGATGTCAAGAGTGTATTTAAGGAGCGAATAAAGTTATTGGCATTTTGGAAAGCACAGGGACGATAAACAGCTATCAGAGCAGTATCATTACCAATTTTTACCAATAAGCTGCTGCATTCATCAAGTTGTGGTTCAGATATGGAGATACCTCTGAGAGATGAGCTGTAGTAAACCACGA